TATATTTATGTGGCATTTTACCTAAATTCGATCCTTTTCGTGAATGCCGTGTTACTCATCTTGTGGTTTCTATCCATTTCAGTACACGTAGCACGTCCTGCACTAGCTATAATTAGACTAGTGCAGCTAAATTATTTGCCATTGATTTTAGTCACGAATTTTCACATACAGATGTCATAGCTACAAATACGAAACTAAGTTGAGATGATGTGAAGAGAATTAATGTTTCATATTTAAAACAAATTATGGAAAAGTGCGTGTAATTAATAATGGGATGTAAATGGTTTCGTTATGATATTATTAATACAATAAAATTTAATATAATATGTGCTAGATAATTAAACCTGTTTTAATATTTTAAACAATAATAATAAAATATTAGATATACATTATACCATTATTGTAAAGTTTTCAACACTTTGCAATATCATACCTGATATTATTTCTACATTTGTACTAAATTTCTGTAAATCATACAATATAATGACTCTAAAAAGATACAATAACATAAAATCGATTAAAATTAATTAGTTAATTAATTATTAACGTGATTTTAAATTGGACTAAAATGCTTAATAAAACTTGTTTATAATGCCATCTTAATTATTTATTAGAATTTAAGACCATCACGAGACATATACTAATTAGCAAACAATAGCTTATAAAAAATCCGAGAAAATTAAATATTTTCTTCCAACATTCTGGCGCAAGCTTGTTCTATTATTGTTACCGATTGAACATATTAATTATTGAAAACATAAAAAAAATTATTACATTATAATCATTGTAATTTAAACATAATAGTGCATGAGATGGATATAAAAACATTTGTATATCTTAATATAATTTATTAATGGTTTAACTACATTATTGACTAAACGGGTTATCATCTGTTGAATAAATCTCTCTTTTAATATAACTAGTTTTTATAAATTTAAAATTATTACAATAATCTTTTAGCGGTATTTAAATCAGATATAATTATATTAAGAATAAAAATTCAAGTACATGTATGTTTCATTCTCTCTATATTAACATTTTTTTTTACAGAAATGTAAAATACATACAGATAGATAAAGAGGACTATTTTATTGATTTACAACACTATAGTTTTATTTGCAATCTGTAACTAATTTGTTTGTTAACTGAAATCCTTTTCACGAACTTTGCACTGACACCGTAACTGATATGACACCCAATCAATTTCATACATACACCAAACGTCAAAAAGAATGGAATACCACATAGTGGTATCGGATGACTGGTCAACAAAATCTTACACATCTCCGTTGCGATAAATATATGTGCCATAATTACAACAATATGTTTATTTAATTAACAAATTTTTTTAATCAACATTTTCTTTTAAATATTATTAAATTTTTGAAAATCAGATGTATATTACACGTGCAGGTTGATGCAGTTCCAGTCAGATGTCACCACTTTTATCATTCCTGTTTACGCTTAAAGTTGTAGAATCTTATCGTGTATAAGCAATTACTATTTATTACTATCTCTATCGCTTCAAACTTTTTATGTTCTGATTAAGACTAATCTACAGATAAAACTTGAACATTAATGATATATTGTGTTTCTTTGCACGGTATACTGCGCAATGTATGTGTGATAACATATTAAAAGTTCTTATTAAAGTATGTTATTGTATTATTAATTTCTTAGTTTTATGTCCATTTTGAGTATAAAATTATATTCTCATTATTAATTGCGCAATAATCGCATTATTAGAAATGTATATATTTACATTATTTATTAATATATAATTATATTTTTAGATGGATAAATTGATGCAAGGAAGAAGGTTCAGTATTACATCGCATAGTCTCACTTTATTACATAGTCATTTTTACTTACAGGTTCAATAATTATCATTTATACTTCAGGATGCGCATCATTATATTTATTTGCATCTTTGTGCATGGCTTGCACATAAATTTAATACAAATAAAAATTAATTACTATTTTATAACATCTATGTCACAATTTCATTCAATCTTAGCTTTTATTCACATGTACTTTAATTAAAATTGCCAATTTGCAGTATAGACATTTGACATCATGCGTGGCGGCTAAATCTCTAAATATTGATCACATATTCACAATCAGAATATACCGCATTATTTTAAAAGATTATTATAAAGCATTTTTACGTAATTAGCACAACATACATTATATTGCTTATAAACTACACATATGCATGCATAAGAAATAAAAAGATTAATAAAACTAATAAAGTAAACGGGAACTAAATGTTATTAAAATGTTATTAATTAAAACATTAGCTTTTAAAGATTCTTAAAATCAAGATTATTGAACAAGCAACATGGATTGTCTATGATTTAATAATAAGTGTATTCTTAATTTGATCTCGCGCTGTTTTTTGGTTGAAAAAGCTGTTTATGAAATAATACTATATAATTATATCAAATTAATATTGTGCTTACATTATCATGTACATTACAAGATATTATAATTGTTAAGATATTAGAAATAAATGTTCTAAATACTCAATTTATCGTTTAATGGTATTAAAAAATTCTCTATTAATATTTTGGTATTCTACACACACAATATGTTTTTTTAATTTCAAGAAAATTATTTTTGCTAAACGCACAAGAAATCTGAGGCACATTTCGATATAATTTAGGCAAATGAGATAGCTATGAAAATTAACAAGACTTATTCGCATTTTAAATAAGTTGTTTACAAATGGAAAGTTCATTATTTGAATTTTTCACAATGGAATTGAATTGAAATTGATCGAGCATAAAATATACATTAATCATACATTTTCCGTTCAATTGTGCACAATTTTGATGATCATCCGTTTCATCCACAATAAACAATCTACAATAAAATCTTGACTGCGAGAGAGAAATATAATGCGCGAATATTTTCTCCGCGATATCGATGATCTAGACAATATTATGCTTTTTATACGGTTTCATATAGGCTTTATATATACGGCTATTTTTGTTATCTGCGCTTCTTTTAATCGTGCTAATGCCTAGAGCTAATTATATTTCTTCGCTAGATATTGCACCGTCTACCGGTTTTCCTTCTCTTTTTAACACTACAGCCTTTACTGTCTATTCATCATCACGCTACGTACATATGTATACATGCTACACACAATACAGCGCTCGCTTTTATATTAACTTAGTTTTTTTATTTTTCTACAAAGTCTGTTATCTCTGTACAATAAACGCACCGTTATTTGTGCCCGCACTTTTATCATTTATTTAAATATAGACTACATATCATACAGAAAAATTTACTATATAGCTGCGACGTATCGTTTCCTTCTCGATCAGTTAAGCTGATCTTTGGACTTAAGCCTTTGAACGGCAAAATATCATTTACATTATCGCATTGATTGTATCGAGAAATCTGCCGTTCAGAGAAATATTTCGATACAAGCTGACCTTTTATTGACAAAGTACACGCACACACGCACACATAACAATTTTTTACGCTTTCTTCTATTACTAATCGCAATAGCGCTCAACAATTGCGCTCTAAAATAGCAAAGATGTAGCAGAAGATATACCGCGACACGATTTTTTCCGATATTGATTAATATCATAACGATCTTTTTTTACGAAAAATTATTTTCGCATATTTTCTTATTCTTTGCTTTATCATCATGCTATTGTTGTTAAATGAAGAGTGATATACGCGTGTAGCAAAGAGCATACTGAAAAACTTCGTAATATTAGAAAAGCATAATGTAAATATATCATTAATTTACACAAAATATTTTACGCGAATAAATAATTTATATGTTGGGGACATAATCAAATTGAATTGAGACTCTATTAATGTTCTTATGCACAAATAAAACTTTTTGATTATAGATCTGTCATTTTGATGTTAAGATGACCTCAATACATATCATGTATATTTATAGCTGATAGATATATTTAGCGTAATGAGAAAACATAGTAATTCTCACTATTGGCAGTGAATTTCGGAAGATATCCAAAGTGCCAAAACATTCTCGTAGTGGTTCCAAAATGTCAAACCATTCATGCAATGTAAATATAAAATCTCATTGCTTTGGGACACTCTGTACTTTTTATGGAAGAACATGACGCGCTTTTAGTGATAAGATGCTGCAGCAGAAATATCAATGAATTTACGAGCGAAATAATATTGCATATACGCATATATATGCGTACATAACATTATATATATAGATAAAAAACTATACAATAGAGTTTACAATATAATAAAAAAACCGTCTGTGATTACTTCCAATTGATCGACACAATTAAAAACAATATTGGTTTTTAGATGCATTAAATTTACGAAACGTAGAAATAGGAATATAGGGAAGCAGTGCATCTCTCACAAAAATCGACACAAGCTTAAAGTCGTGAAACCTTTATTAAGTACCTTTCCTATTCGCCTAACTTTATAGCATATGTAACAAGAGTTCATATATAATAGTTCTAGAGTTTAAATTATTTAGACTGACATGTTGTCAGATTTTTATTTAAGCAACAATTAATTGAAAGTAATCTTTAAGATATATTGGTGATATATCCAGTTTAATATATTGTCCTTTTTTCAAAATGTACATTGATATGAAGGTGAAAAAGCAATTAGATGAAGAAAATGTGTTATTTATTTGTTTAAAAATTTTTAATATTAGAGTTTGATTGATAGTTATAATAGTTAGATGTAATAAATATTGCACATAGATCATTAAATGATAAGTGCACTTTACTATCAAACTAATAAATTAATAATAAAAATGATAAAACGGAAATTAATAATTTATTTGCTGTAATAACTCAATTTTTGTAAAAATGTAAGATTCTAATGTAAAAATGTGTGAATTAATTTTATCCATTTACTTTCTCAACTGTTATTAATTCTATAATCTGACGCAATGTGTAAAATTTAGACTAATTTATCAACTGTTTGTCGTTTTTATATCAATTTATACCACAAACATATATTTTTAATATATATTATATATATATAATACATTTTTATATATCTTATTTCTACTAATTAATAAGAGTTATAATTTTGATTTTCTGAAGTTTTGCATGTAACTGTATTTGATTTATTTGCATTGAAATATAAAAATGATGTGAAAAGGTAATCTCTTTGTGTGAATATTATTAAAATATGACAAGATATATGGATATGAATTAATTGCTATAATTTGTCGATTTCCATCTTTTAACAATTTGCGGTAACCGCGAGATACATATGCGCTTGGAATAAGAAAGATTAAACATTGTTTTTAAAGGTAAACAATATTGAAGTAAAGCTTATAATGCCGCAAGCTATAATCACAGTCTGCTAATGATTTCTACTAATTGTTTATACCTGTGTAATAAATTTTATAATTAAAATATAATTTATACATGTATATAATAATAATACAAATGGCTTATAAAATATTGCATAATAAAGCATGTAAATTATTCAAATGAAAATACGTAATTGGCTAACATATTAGCTAAATAATCCAATAATTTTAATATTTTAATCATTTTAAATATTCATTAAGACAAAATACTTTTATTTTCTGTGCCATAACAGATACAAACTTAATGCTACAAAATATTAATCAGATATCGATGGGAGCTCGTTTGTATGAACAGTGCCAAGTGTCACAAAATTCGAAGAAGAAAGGCCTGCGCATTAGGCCATCTCAAGGCAGTGCATATTCCGATCTATGATCGCGAGAGCCATAAGAAAATCGTCAATTGCCCGGTACTTCTACAAGACGAGCTACCTCGAGCTGATTCGTTGTTTGTAAAAAAATATAACATGCTAAATAATACGTGAAATATTTGAGACGAAAATTAATATATAACGTACCGTGATAACATTCTACGATTACTGCATAACGGTTATCTATTCAAAACGGCAAAGTGTTTTATAATATATAGTCGGGTAATGTCTTTTATATACTTAATATCATCACTCTTCGTCTTTCGTGATAAACGATATTTTCGTTCGTTTATACGGCTATAACTTACTACTTAACTTCATTATTATATTATTTTAATTATGTAACGTGCGTCCTACGTAGCGTTAAATATCGCAAGCTCTCTTTACGGTATTAACATACGAATCGTTATTCCGTTTGAATCGCAAGTATTAGGAATGCATTCGATTCAGATCAACGTGTTTATTATAATAATACACATATAAGTTTGCTTAACACTACTTGTACATGTATGCCTACGCGCACATTTTCAGCACATTACAGATTACACACATTAACAAATATATTCACGCATGTATACACGGCATATATACAATACATACGAATATGATTTTTGATCAGCTTGTGCGCGCTAACGATACATTATGTACAAAAGGCGGGTAACATCCGACTTTGCCGGCGAGTCTTAACATATTATTCTCATTTTATTATTGTCCGAAGTTCAACACAATTTTATAGATGTATGAGTATAATTCAATATCAAGTATGGAAGGCCATCTTTTCTGCAAAAAGTGTCCGTGTACAATTAGCTACATTATCGAGACAAGAGTATCCTCGAACAATTCGCGGTGCCTTACGTCATATGCAGATCACCTCTCAGTATCCTGGTGAAGGTTTTCTTGAACTGCTGATTCGCCAAAGCATAGCAAAATGGATTCATAGGACTATTGGCGTAGCACAGAAAATATGAGAACATGAAGAGATGCTCGTTCGTACACGGTGGATTTGCACAGAATCCCTCCACCAGCGCTAATATGTGATAAGGGGTCCAGCAAGCGACGAACGCGCCTAAAATGAAGGATATTGTACGAAAGGCCTTACGCGCCCTGTTTTCCGTTCGAGATTTCTGCCGACCTATTGTGAGATCCTTCTTCTGCGTCTTAGCCTTCAATCGTTTTCCGATGGACTTGACGAAATCCCGTCTGGAACCGTTTAGCTCCACGTCTGATGTGGTTTCCTTCTTTTTAGACTGGATCTTTGTTTCCTGACTGTTTGTAGCCGAGGCCGTCGGCATTATGCTGCTAGACGACGAGTTTTGTGGTGGATTACTACTCGCTTTGGTAGGCTGATCCGAGAATCGATCCGTCGGGCTGTTAGACGAATCCAGCGGCACAGCTATGGCCGTTGTGACCACCGTTGTAACGGGTTGACGCTTTGTCTTGTCGACGTTGACAGAGACTTCCGTGTGTACCTTGCTGACAGTGGGCGACGTCTGCGACGCGACGTTGGTTTGATGTGTGATGAACACGCGCGGCGGATGCGTTTGACTTGATGCGTTCGACATTGTTGGTTGATGATGCTGTTTGTTTTGCGCGATCTGCACTAGTTGACTGGTACCAGCTTGCTGTGCCGTTGCTCTGATAAGAGCAGTTTGTAATAAACTAGTGCTCGCGCCGGCTGCCATGGCGTTACCCAGAATGGGCGATGGAGGTGCTGTTGACAGTGGATTCGCCAAACTGCAAGAGAAGGAAGACGGTGGACTCTCATAAGAAGGACTAGGCAGAATGATGGAACTCTCGTCCATGTATCGCAGATCACCGCCGTCAAGACCGGTGAGGATATCGTATGTACCTTGACCGTAGGAACGTACGATCAACGATTTGGGTCTGTCGGTTGACGAAGACGTCGTCGGACTGTCCGACACGGGCGGGCTACTCTGGAACTGCGTAGGCGGCGGTATGATGTTCTGTTGAACGCTATTGATCGACGCACGTTTAAGTTGAGCAAGCGGCGTCGCCTCGACCGAGGGAGTCGATTGTTGATTGCCATCGGCATCGTTCGATTTTAAGGACTGTTCGGGTGTCAGCGTACGACTGCTGGATTTGTCGGGCTCGACGGGATTGTCGGTGTCCAGGAAATTCAACTCCTGTATCTTGGGCAGTGTTTGAGCTTTTTGTGTCGCCATGTCGCGCGTAGGACTCGTCGGCAACAATCTCCTCGCCGTTGGCACACTCAGCTCGACCTTGACTGGCACGATGCCGTTTAGGCGTCCGTTGGCGGCGAAAACCTGAAGAGCGCCGGACTGGGCTACCAAACCCGCCAACGAGGATCGTTTTCTAATGGTGTTGAGCTGCTGAGAGGTGCCAACGGTGCTCTCCTCGTCAGAATCAAACGCGGGGCTGCTGGAGCGTTCGGATTTTTCAGTTTCCATCACCGTGATGTTCGCGATGACATTCTTATTTGCGGCATCCGGTGCGCATCCGACGGCATCGGCTGTCTTTGTGACCGTTTTCTGCGTAGCCGTCGCGTCCGCGCCAGCGGCATCATCGTCCATCGATGTGACACCGATCTTCGGCTTGTCCTGGCTCAACAAGGTGCTCTGAGTCTTGGAAATACCTATACCGGCGGCACGACCGGCCATACCGGACATTGCGCCGGCACTCAACGCGACCATCGATTGCATCTTGCGCTGCTTAGCCTCGCTCTTCTTCTGCATGTCGTAAGCGGTCTTGTATATGCCGCCGTAAAGAATGAACAAGACAATCAATGTTGTCCAATAATATCCGATTATCAGGGCGGTGTTGAACACCGGATCCTTGAGGAACTGTACGGCACATTGGCCTGGGTTTAAATCTCTGTAACCGATGAAATGCTCCCAGCCGAAGATGCTGATGAAAAACAGTAGCGCCGGTATGATCCAGGTGATAGTTACCATCCAGATTACGCGCTGCTTCGTCCGCCAGCTGCGATACTGCGCAGCTATCTTTACCGAGCAGAATCGATCGATTGTGATTAACAGAACGGTGTACTGAGACACCAGACATACCGTATAATCCACTGACAGCCATAGATCGCAGAGAAGAGGTCCTAGATTCCAATATCCCATTAGCACGTAGACCGTGTAGAATGGCATCGACACGGTGCCTGTACAACAATTACGTCGTTACCTATATAATTAATTTCTGTTGCTGTGTGTATCTGATCGCGCATATTCTGTATCCGAACAGGGGTCTCGCGATAACGAAATTACATCTCTATGATTCTCATCGTGATGAATATACGGGCTTCCGCTCATAATTAGTGAATTTGCATTAGAAATTCTGTCAAACAATTGTGATGCCAGAACATCGTATTCAATATCAAAGAATATAAATTAACATAGCGAGTCTATCCATACGTAAATAGCGATCATATTTAGTATCGCAACTGAAATGAACGAAATCAGGAAAAAATTTAATATAGAAATATATATTTGTAGAAACATAAATTATTTTTTACGATAAGCAATGCTGCAATATAATTTTCGTAAAAGTTACATAAGATGTGTATAAAAGAAATTATACTGGATCTTATCATACGGACTTATCATATTTATTAATGATATTAAATTTGACACAACCTTTGGGAAATCACCTTTTCAAGAAATTAATTATTGATATTTCAAAGATTATGAAATTATTAAATAATACCTTTTAAAACTTTACATTTATTTATACAAGTATTAATTTATAAAAACATTTTATTTATTTTGTAAAAATAATGCATATATATTTTTATAGTTCTTTTTTCCAGATATTTATGACAATATTTGTTCGTGATACATATAGCTGTGCGTGTGATTTAGATCTATATATCTCAGGATATATTCAAACTCAGACGCTGATACGATATCGCTTTTATAAAATGACGCAACGTTTACTTTAAGGGGAGAAGAAAAAATGCGGAAGTACCGTGGAACTTACCGATAAGCATATCAGTGGCAGCTAATGACGCGATGAAATAATTACTTGGTTGTCTGATGGCTCTGTCTACAATGAATGCCAGAAGAACGAGGATATTACCGCCAATAGTTAGCAGTATGCATATTGCCAGACAGATAGCAATCAAGATCGTCTGCCAGAGCGTGAATGGTGGCAAAACGGGTGTCAGAGATATATCTGTTTGATAGATGTAAAGCTTTATTAGAGAGCAACATATAAATTGTTAATCGATGAATGATATTAATATGATATATTTATGATAAAACGATATAGTATTAACGAATATTAATATTTGCATAAAAATTTAACATATTTGGACAAACGGTCATGCGCTTTCATAAAAGAAAGTATTTTGTTTGTAAATCTTTCCTACATAGCTTATGATACATCCTGCGCAAATCGCATGATGTGTAACTTAATCTCAATCACATTACCCAACGTCGACGAAGTCGTTGCATTTCCGAAAGCCGAGATATTCGTCGCGTTCGTCGGGAACCAGTCGGGCAGAAGTTCCGCGTATTCACCGCTGTTCCAGCGCGGGTCATCCGGGTCAGGCCATGTTCTATTTAACTGGGTACATTCTGCTGTCAAAATCTGGTTGTACACGTACCGACATAGACGCTCTCGTTGTCTCTTTAGCTTCCTAATAATGTAAACAATGAAGTTTTTTTATTATTAATTGCCGTACATGAAAAATAGAAAGTCGGATATATCAGTATCGACGTAGAAAATTGAATGAAAAATTCATTATACAACAGAAAAATTATTTTGTCAGTTATTGTCATTAATATAAAATTAAACAAATATTGCAGCTTTTATAGAAATAGATAAAGTTTGCGTGAGACATAATCACTTTTAATTTTTTCTTTTCACTTTAATTTTTTAGAATAATTCAATTTATGCTCGATATAGCTATTTCTATTCACACGTGTAAATTCACGTTTTACGCATAGAGAGAAGTTCGATAGTTCGATGAATCACAATGTTCCTATTCCTTCGTCGTGGCTGCATGTTTGTTGTTACCATCGAAGAAAATGTGACACCGGCATTTCCTGATTCTCTACACAGCGCGAGACATATACGGCCCTATACTTTCTGGAGCGTCGTTGCAGCGGTAACACGAGAAGCAAGTCAAAGGCTGAATACACCAGGCGCACAATGAGCTTGAAATAAGCATGAATGGAACCACATTCAACCCCCGCGCCAGTCTCATCGCCGGTAGACAAAAAGCGACAGAGTACGCCTTAAAGAGGGCGAGCGTGTTTTTAAATCATTCAAGCAGTCGATCCGAATCTCACATGGTCTAAAATTGCGCGTGAGAGTCTCCTTTTTCGTAATTTGTAACAAAGATTTGCTTTGAATTAGAGCTATCAAACTGTCTGTTGATATCTAACCGCTTCAAAGCGCATGCTGTCCTTTAATCATTCTCCCATACGCATTTTTTGATAAATCAAAAAAACCTTAAAAAATAGTTATTTTTATTGATAAATAATATAAAAGCTTCTTTATACATTTTTGTTTTCTTATTTTTAAGATACATTTAATTTTATATCATTCTCTTTATCTATTTTGTTATTTTATTTATCAAATTTATTCTTTTGCAGATCAAAGAAATATATAGGAACTTATTCACGTTAAAACTGTTTCAATTGCTTGTTAAAGAGAATAACTATCTTTTACAACGATTTTAGATTTTACATATTTTCATATTTATAATTTTATCATTGTTTTTCTCTCTTGTCAATTTTATTTAATATTTTAATATAATTAATTGTTTCGTGAATTCTTAATATACATATTCTATATATGTATGCCGATGTTACAGATTTTTCGATTTAAATATATAAAATAAATAAAGAAAATGTGTGTGTGTGTGTGTGTGTGTGTGTGTGTGTGTGTGTATGTGTGTGTGTGTGTGTGTGTGTGTGTGTGTATGTGTGTGTGTGTGTGTGTGTGTGTGTGTGTATGTGTGTGTGTGTGTGTGTGTGTGTGTGTGTATGTGTGTGTGTGTGTGTGTGTGTGTGTGTGTATGTGTGTGTGTGTGTGTGTGTGTGTGTGTGTATGTGTGTGTGTGTGTGTGTGTGTGTGTGTGTATGTGTGTGTGTGTGTGTGTGTGTGTGTGTGTATGTGTGTGTGTGTGTGTGTGTGTGTGTGTGTATGTGTGTGTGTGTGTGTGTGTGTGTGTGTGTATGTGTGTGTGTGTGTGTGTGTGTGTGTGTGTATGTGTGTGTGTGTGTGTGTGTGTGTGTGTGTATGTGTGTGTGTGTGTGTGTGTGTGTGTGTGTATGTGTGTGTGTGTGTGTGTGTGTGTGTGTGTATGTGTGTGTGTGTGTGTGTGTGTGTGTGTGTGTATGTGTATGTGTATGTATGTATGTGTAAAACAACACAAAAAAAGCGTATAACAAGTATATAAATATTTAATCAATACGACTTTAGTACACAAAACAAAGTAATTATTAGTTAACATTTAATATTGACACGAAACAAAATTCTATTTTTAAATTTGATAATATTCATCAACCTGATAATATAATATTCATCAACCTGATAATATAAATTTCTGATAATGTAATATGCATATATATACATATTTCTCATATATGAAAGTAGAGATTCAATCTGATACCTGGAAGTAAAATAATGCAAACACTTTATATATGAGCTGCCAATGTAGTTCCGGATACTTGCCAACCCCATGTCATACTATTGTAACGTTGAATGAGAACTTCAACGCTAGCTTAACAGGTCATTTCAGTGGAGAACACGAGTCATAGATTATCGCGTCTGAAGTTCGACTGATTATGAGCTAAAGTTCTCATGGGGGATAAAATTGTTCAAATGTATGATTACCGTGATTATCATGCTTTCTTCAACGTCAAAGGAATTTTCTGCATTCAAGGAACGTCAAATATTATATGTATAACCATAGAACATATTGACATAATAAACGGATAATGTTAATTTTTGTGCATATAATCTACTAATCATCGGGAACATATTTCTACCCGTACGCTACATATTATAATACATATAATAGATTATATTATATTTTTGTATTGATTATATTATAAATCATCGACGCGTGGCGATGGCGTTTGGACGTTATCTACTAATTTGTACTGATTCTACGCGGGTTTTAGTAAGCCTTTTTTCTGATTATTAATTTTAATTTTAAATTTGATTGCGACAACAAATGTTGTACATGTCGGGTTTTAAAATTCCGATTTATTTTTTACATATTTATATCCATGCTGAAGGTGGATCAAAAAACGGTTTTTACCATTTTTAATGCACATTTATTGGTAAAGTTTGGAAATAATAAGTTCGCGCACCAATACCAGCGCCTTGGCTCTTATCTGCCAGTATTCTCACTTAATTAATATAATAGAGTTTATAGAATCATCATGGATTTATTCACAAATGTATAAAATTATTTTTTAATTAATTAATATATATATATATATATATATATATATATGTATAATTCGTGTTTATTTAACATTATTGGCATTAAATTTGCGTAGGATAATAATACTATTTTGATAGCAAAGACCCATTTTTACGAAAAAAAATTGCAAATTTACAAAATTGAATTCTATGCAAATTTATTATATACAAGTTTTCAAAGCTGAAATATATAACAGATAAATTAAAATTATGTTTCGTCATTTTTATGTAAACTAAATATTTGCTTCATTAGCTTTATCTGTACATATTATGCAATTTTTCAATTCTATCTAAGTCTGAATATTTTTGATTATATGTTTGCTAAAATTTGCAAGAGAACGTCTCTCTATTCTCATTATACGTTAACTTCACCTTCAGCAAATTTTACAAATTGATGAATCCCATGTTAACGTTATTGCGACGGCAAATCCCCAGCGCAAGTATCTAAGGAAACCGCGAGAATAAAGAATGTGCTATGAGATTCTTTGTTTCAATGTTCCCCAGAGTAAATACTTGTCCTCGTTATTCGTGAGCATCCTCCTTGTATAGACCTACCGTGAAATCATTTGTAAATACTTGTCCTCGTTATTGCTGTACTTCTACTTTACGAAGCTATTGTGAAACCGTCCATAAAAAACAACCAACCATCTGTAATTATCTCAAAATTCAGCCGTTTTGTTTATGTAAAAAAGAATTGAAACTAGTAATATTAAAATAACAGAAAGTCAAATCTTTATATAAAAATAAAAATTTGTTTTTACAGAATATCATATTAAATAGTTTTTTTTGTTGATCATTGTATGGAATAATTACATATATAAAAAACAGATTTATTAAAATTTTATAAATAAAATCAATTTTATTTATTTAATTAATTTTTAAAAATTAGTCTTTAATTAATAATTAATAATCCCAATTTTTTATATATTTCAAAATTTATATAATGTTTGCTTTATATATAATTTTTATTTGGAAATAAGTTGTTATTTTTACAATATTATAATATTTAGTAATGCGCAAGTATATCACAGATGAACAATTAATTAAGTTCCTTATTTTGCAAAAAATACGCCTCTTTAATTATTTAACAATTTTAAGTAAAAATGTTCTTATTTTTTATCAGATAAGATTACAAACTAATTTATCAGTTTGAATTAGATGACATAATGAAAAAAAAACTTATAATTTAATATTTGCGAAATTGAGCACCCTTTTCTAACTACACAAGCTAACTCGATCTATTATAAAATAATGCAAACTACAGCAGCTACTTCCTATCATTTGCGTAAGCACGGAGTAGGGTAGAGCGGGGTCAAAAGTAACACGGGGCGAAAGTAACAACTCAAATATCTATAGATATATAGTAGATATATACACGTGCGTTGGTCAGTGCATGAAGCTAAACAACCTACAACATGTCTCAATACGTCTGCGGCCTCGGTACTGAGTGAACGTGTACAGTGACGAAAATATATTTTCGAGGTCATAAAGTATCTTTTTCCGAGTGTGCTAAATTTTGAATATAAATATTTCTACCGCAAGTAAGCTCTTTTTTTTTTATTTATATTTAGATTTAGTTATTTTTGTATATTATAATAATTGTTGCATATCCATTTTTGATATTTTATCATTAAAAATTTTAAATCAAAGTTGACAAACATAGTCGGGGACGATTGTAACATCATTGTCTGGGGTCGAATGTAACGTTACAACCGACTCCGACTGATGCAATTTATTTCATTTTGGATTATAAGTAAACTATTTTTATTTCAGAATGCCTCGTACTAAGATTAGAAAGACTGACAGGATATAATTTATATAATATATAAATGACTTATATATTTGTCATAACTGTGATGCAGAGTAATCTCTATTTGTATTAATAGTTCTTAATGATACTGTGTTCCTATTACTCTAATTGAAAAATTATTATTTAGAAATAAGAGCAAAAAAATGTTTATATCTTGTTATAATTTGAGTTAACAAAGTTAATGTTTTCTATGATTAATATAAAAAAGTTAAATTTTAAAAGAATAAGTTTTTATTTTGCTATTTTTTTGTGTAAGAATATGAATATTTTAGTTTATTTCTGCTAATATCAAAAAAGCTGAATTTTAAAAGAATAAATCTTTATTTTGCTACTTTTTTATATAAGAATATGAATATTTTAGTTTAATTCTGCTAATATAAGAAGAA